AGGAAACACCCTAACCGAAGAAGACAAGCTTAGAGATATCTGAACGCGCGTGGTGGGGAAAGATCTGCCTAAACCTGATCTGGTTCTCCTCCAAGAGACCCATCTATCCAATCTTAACAATCACAGCAAGATATATCATAGGGTGGAGAGAACAGTAGGGGGATGCGCATTTGCACTATGGTCCAACAAAGAAGGCCAAAGCAATAAAGGGACAACAATACTCATCCCAATAACATCCAAGATTATGACCGAGGGACAAATCCTGAATAGTGAGGGCGACATCGAGGATGGGAGATGGTCTTGGTTAGACATTAAGAAGACCTGAGAATTCTCAACCTATATGCACCTAACACGGAATCTGAAAGACTGACCTTCTTTGAGAACATCAAAACCCTTATCCCCAACCCACAACTGATGGTCATCGCAAGAGATTGGAACACGACCCTGGACCCGAACCTGGACCGAATTTCAAGGACAGCACAAATGGGCCCCACAAGAGCGGGCACCCGGATTCGCAACCTGATGACAAAATTCGAACTCATCGACCCACTCAGGGCAATGCATCCGAACAAAAAAGTCTTTTCCCGGATAAGGAGGAACCAAGCCAATCCGACATCACTGTCCAGAATTGACTACTTCCTCATATTTGAGAGTCTATTAGGCATAGTTAAAGAGGTCGAGATCCTCCCCTTTTTCAAAGGTATGGATCACAAACCTATTCAACTGCTGCTCAACTTCAACTCACCCATTGAAACAGGTCAAGGATTCTTCATATTGAACAACTCCCTCATAACGACCGAAAGGATGGCTGCGATAGTCAAAGAAAATTGGTCCCTCAATAAACAGCGCAAGTTCGGACAGACAAACAAGCACCAATGGTTCATCAACAGCTACGCAAAACTAACGGAAGTAGTATCAGCAAAATCACGAGGTATAGCTAGAGATCGCAAGAGGAGAAGAAAGGAGCTCCAATTCGCTATCTCAGTTGCAAAATCTAACCTGGCAGAGGACCCCTCTAGCGAATTTTTCTAGGAATTACTAGCTGATACCAAAGAAGAACTAAATGAAGTGAGAAGATGGGGACTAAGAGGCCTGCAAGTACGAGCAAGGATGGCGGACTACACACTTAACGAGTCCATGTTCAAATTCTTCTTCTCTAAAATCAAAGCAAACGCAAGGAACAACACGATAGAGGGCCTCAAAGACCCAACAAAGCAAGGGAACATCAAAACAACAGGTTCATAAATGGTCAGGATTGCCAGGGCATTCTACGCAGATTTATACGAATCGAAGACACCCTTACCCCCGACCACAACGAACTTAGCAGCCCGCGAACTCATGCTATCTTACCGTGACAAGACGATCTCGACAACTCAAGCAGAAGGCCTGGACAATCCCATAACCCTAGCCGAGTTGCACATAGCCCTGACCCATATGGGAAATGACAAAGCCCCGGGCATCGATGACCTCTCTAAAGAATTCTGGAGGTGTTTCTGGCCGACCCTAGGAGAAGACCTGCTCGACTTTTTTAACGACAACATGCTAAAAGGAGGTCTGGGCAATGATCTGAGCACCAGCGTGGTTTCATTGCTTTACAAGAAGGGAGACAAAGAAGACCTAAGAACTAAGACCAATTTCACTACTCACCACACCCTACAAAATCCTCGCTAAGGCGCTTGCAAATAGAATCACAAAACTAATGAACAAATGCTTTGACATTGACCAAGCAGGCTTCATCTCGGGCCGATATATACTGGACAACGTGACGATTCTGAACGAGGCAGCAAAAAATATCATGGAGAAACGAATGAAGGCTGCAATCTTGTTTTTCGACTCATCAGGAGAAACAATTGAAGGATGAATGAAGGCTGCATCCTTGCCCTTCGAAAGGCCTACGACCATGTCAATTGGGATTCTCTCCACGCTTGTATGGAGAAAATGGGGGTAGGCCCAAACTTCAGAAATTGGGTGAGAGTTCTTTACTCAGATGCTACAGGCAGGGTCCAGGTCAACAGGATCCTATCGGACACCTACCCAATATCTAGATCTGTCAAACAAGGCGACCCATTGGCTCCGCCCATATTCCTTTTCATTATGGAAGCCGTAACTTCCTTCCTTCGAAAAGATCTATCCATCGACCGCCTCACTGAACGCAATTTCAACTCGTTACACGACTTCGCCCTACCCACTGCACTTATGTTCGCCGACAACCTCATTGTTCTCATTCGCGCCAATAACTCTTTTTTCCAAGCCGTAGTAAGAGCAATGAGAGCCTTCAGACTGGCATCAGAAATGAAGGTTAACTGGGGCAAAACTGAAGGCTGGTGGCTAGCAGACGGTACCCCTCCCCAACCAGCCGACACTGCCACACCCATGTCATGGACGTCGGGAGAGCAAGCATTACGTTTCCTGGGCATCATGGTCAACAATGAAGGAGTATGGCCATGAATGGGCCAGAACTTAATTGCCAGGGCAATCACCCGCTTGGCCCTATGCAAAAATGCTCAGCCCTCACTAATTGGACGAGCCCTTTTAATTAACACGGCAATCTTCTCCACACTGTGGTACATGGCATCCATCTGGTCCCCCCCCGATGACGACAGCAAGACGTTAAAAAACAGGGCGAGATGCTAGTTGTGGACAGGAAATCCCAACAGGACCATGTGTATCAACAGGTTAGCCTGGAACCACGTCACGAGGAAACCACAGGAAGGGGGCCTTGGGTTAATCAACCCCAAACAGGAGTCCATAGCACTGCAGATGAAATGGATTATTAAGATCCTGATCAGACAAACCCTCCCTTGGTCCCAAATGGCTCTAGACAGCATCAGAAAACTAGCGCCCATAAACTCCCCCAAACATGAGAGGTCTGCACTGGCTCATGGCGAAGGACTGGGTAATCAAATCAAATCATGCAGACCTTGCAGGAGAAACCCTACAGAGCTCATCACAACCCCCACTCAAACAGCCACCTCATACTGGAGTCCTACCATCAAAGCTTGGCGTAGAATGATGCCAAGTAAACACGGTTCACCAGGAAACAGAGAAGAGGTCCTGAGACAACCTCTCTTCTGCAACCCTTGGATCACCGACCCTAGTGGAGGGACATGGGCACTACGCACAAAAGACCCAAAATGACTATCCTGGGTGGAAAAAGGCGTGTGGCAGGTGAAACACATCTGGCCAGAGGACAAAGGACGATGGGCTACTAAACAGGAGCTACGAAATGTCTTAAAAGGCTGTCACTCCCTCGCTGAAAACCTAACGTTGATCCAAAAGAGTATCCTAGTACAATGGCTCTCCCTCCTAAGGGAGGACTTCTCGTGGAAATCCGGGGATTGGGGCATACTCATCTCCCAAACCCATCCTATTAGAGCATATTGATTCGTCTCTCGAACCAACCCACTCTGCTACCTATCTAAATTCTACTCATACCCCATAGCTAATCACAACCTACAAGAGCTGGAAATCCAGAACAAAGATCCCCAGTGCGACGCACTTGAAACCTTCCGACTGAGAAAAGTGAGGGTTTCGAAGTCCAAACCCTGGAAAATCTTCCAACTGGACCTCAGCATTTCATTCCTTGAATTCAACCCGAAAGAGTGGGTTTGGAAGCAGGGCGAATCCGGGAGAACGAGAACCATATTTGATTACGATGTCAAATTCGGCTATGAGCTGGGTCTGCAAACCACAGACCCGGACTCCAGACTCGAACGAAAGTGGACGGAGATCCTGAATCTGGATCCAACGGATTCCATTTCCATCCCGTGGACGAAGTACCTGACCATTAGACCGGTTAGGATTCGAAGCATGAAGTGGCTCCTAGCGCATGCATCGCTGCCGGTCAATCAATGGCTCCACAGGAGAAGGAAACATACTGACCCTGACAGCTCTGAGCTTTGCAGGCTATGCACAGACAGTATCCCGGAAGATATACCCCACTGCCTACTGTACTGCACGGAAGCCGCATGGATATGGAACAAGGTGCACGAGCTATGGTCCCTCCTCTTCTCATCACCCCCTCCGCCCACCACTCCCCTGAACATCCTGCTCCTTTCCAACATTACTAACAATCTCAAAGGCGGCAAGGAGGTATGGTTTCACCTGCTCAGGAAGCTGGCTCTATTGGTAATCTGGAAAAGGAGATGTACCAAGAGGATCGAAGGAACGGAGGTGGCAAGAGAAGAAATGTGGGTACTGTTGCTGAGAATGGCCGAAACTGAGATTCGATCCAGATAGAGGGAGGTGACATCAACAACGAAAGGCAGACCAGAAAGGATAGCCATCAACAGATGGATCTTCATGAGAAACTGGCTTCTTCAGGGAAAGATTGCAACTGTGACAGATAACAGTTTGATTTGGAAGAAATGGCATAGCACATCTCCAACAAGGGCAGTGCACCAGTGATGGGCAAACTGAGATTTTCATCTCAAGAGTATGGACAACTCTCCTCTTTCTTGCTTTACACGAATCAGCTGACAGAGTCACAATAGATTCTGAGAGGAAAAGTGGAATGGCAAGTTGACAGTCAATCCTCCGGATAGGGAGCAATCAATGCTGATGAGGGTTCCTCAGGACGGAAGGAAGCGTGAGAGTGTTCACCATGTATCTCAATTTTTGACTTGCCGGTGGAAAGGAAACGGACTGACGCTCCCCAGAATGGATATGGAGCCAGGACCATAAGGACCTGTTTCAACTAAAAAAAACAAACAAACAGAAAGTATGTGGCATGGCAGTATGCATATGCTCAATCAATCCTTTGGTTCCCCTCACTTCCCCCTCCTAGATCAAGCATTTGGTTGTTCTGATGTTGTCACATTTTGTCAGGTCCTTGTGCTATCAGATTATGACTCCCTAAGAGTACATGGGACCCTAAACACCTATTTCTCATGCCTTGCCTTGACGCAGATTTTGGATGCATGAATGTTATGTGCTGCATTTGAACCCGGGTAATTTTAATTTGGTTGTTATGACATTTTGTCAGATCCGCGTGCTATCAGATCTAGACTCCCTGAGAGGATATCTAGCTGAGAATTTGGCGAGTGATGATTCAAAGTTGCAATTGACTGGGGTGCAAGTTGCGGCCGATGGTGATGGCGGAGCATTGAATGAAACGAAGGTGACCCGAAGGGTTCTTAGGGATGGACGACAGATGGCTATGGTAATGAAGAAGGCTGTGAAGGTGGAGATTCGGAATTTGTCAGTAGCACCAACCGAAGAAGTGTTGTTTAAGCAGCAGACGCTCTACTGGTTCGATGTTAGCGCACACGTCCATGACAACACATATGCCTATTGTGTGTCCTGTGCATTTGATTATCTGATGTACGATGCCCATGGGCGCCAGGAACATTGTACGGATCTGCGTCCAGAAAAGGTGTGGTGTGACCGATGGTGTCCACTTAGGGCTCATTGTCATGAGTGGTATGCATATCAAATGAAGTCAGTGAATGCGTTGGAAGGGCACACTGCCATAAAAACAACACCTATGAAGAATTTGCCATATGTCGTGACCTTCCGACAAGCTTTTGTGACACGTCATGGCCACATTTACAATGATGAGGTTGGGTTTGACCCCCGCTGGCGGTGTCCTCGTGCATCATTTCCTGCAATCAGACCAGAGCGAGCATGGCGTAAGTTCTCGTACAAGAAAGTGCTTGCTATTGATCATGTCTGGCGTGGACCATACCATGAGATCATTGATGTCCTCGCCCCGATGACTGCTATCTATGAGGAACTGCTGGCAGATCCAAGCATAATGATTCACACTACTGTAGGTGTGTATGATGGTCATTCTTCACTCCGATGCTGGTGCATCTCTCTCTCTCTCTCTCTCTCTCTCTCTCTCTCTCTCTCTCTCTCTCTCTCTCTCTCTCTCT